CCGGCCCCCCCCCCCTTTTGGGAGGTAAAAAAAAGAGGAAAGAAAGGAAGAAAAAAGAAAAAAATGATAGCCAACAACGTCGCAAATGTTATTTTCGGGCGTCTAGAACACAAAAACTTTGCGGGGGCATGCCCCCGGACCCCCTAGGACATTGTTGTCTCGATCGGCCCAAATTTCGGCATCTCTGGATCCGCCACTGATCGTGTCCTCACAACTCCAGGTGGCGCCCTCAGATGTCAACCGGACGTTGGTTACCGCTCATTGGCTTTCTGGAATAGGCATTTCAAAAACCTCATATTTTACCATCAAAATGTACTAAAAACACAAAAGCTTGCATTATATTAATTATCGAACACACATTTAATCATCAATTAAAATTTACAAAGAAAAATTAAGATAGAACATTTTAATAATTACATTAGAAATTTGGATCAATGGTTTGTCAGTGGAGACAAGGTCCGATTGAACACATTTTGTCGCCAATAGCAACGTAGTAGTATCGTGACGTAACACTGTAGTACTCTATTAAGTAAATATGTACGGTAACTACTACTTGCAGATTCCACTTTTGCCAAAACCAGTTTACCAAATGCAAAATTACCAAGTCCAGTTTTGCCTAATCCGGCTTTGCTGAATGTCAATTTAATAGCATAAAATATGTTAAATACATTATTAGCCTCCAATGCAATACATTTAAAAGGTGCATACTACTATTAAACATAGCTATCCTTAACATATGAATTCACAGTATTTGTAAGATACCAGTCATGACTCTCTTTGGCATAAAGTTTATAATTCCTAATTCTAGGTTTTAAGGGTATTATCCCATGGACCTGACTGACCTTCCCTGTATATTGTTCGACCCCACAGCCAAATAGCTTAGCTGTGAGGGAACATTCTGGTCTGAAGTTGAACATATCAAACATCCTCAGATGACCTCAGTTGAATTATCAACATAATTTGATTAATTAGATTGGGTGTGGTCATTGCTCGTTGACGGACGACAAAGGAGTGAGGACGACGCTCAAGAGTGGGCATATTCTGATGGTGGGACAATCGGTTGGTTCTATTTTTGTTGTAGAGGTGTTTCTAAAGGAACAATGGCAATTAGTCGGTTTATACAGGCAAGTATTCACAAAATAGACCCATTACTTAACGTGAATATTGGTTGCTGATATTTGCAGGGATGAGTAGCAGAATACATCTTTAAATATTTTAAACTGCATGAAAAGCACTGAGGAAAAAACAATAAAACACAATACAGTATATAATATTTTTAAATTTTATTTATCGTAACCCATCAAATGGTTAAAATCACTTGGAAGTGCAAAGCTGTAAGCCTGTAGGAACAACGGATATTTTTTTGCACGGACCGTTGTTAAACTGATATTAATCAACCTTTTGCGAGCAACTACAATATCATTATGGTGAAAAATTAACTTTTGCACACGCAAAAATGGTGAGAATACATGTGCGGTGTATGTGTCCATAGCTGCATTATGATACAGTTTTAATACAATTCTCTTCGTAAACATGCGAGCGAGCAAAGGAATCAACACGGTAGACAATGTTATTCCTGCTAGGTTTGAAAATGTTTCAAAGTTGACCGCAGTATGTTCGTAAGTACCAAGTAAAATGTCCGGAGCAAGATACAATCCCATTAATGCTGTGCCATAAAAGACTGCGTTCGACAATTGTAGCAGTTTTTTTCCGTTAAATTGATATATTAACCGATCAACATTTTCCTTAATAATAGGTTGGTTTTTTAAATAAGCACTAGTTGGGTCGTCCCATCTGTCCTTGAAGGTGGCACTTGTAGCAAATTGTTTTCGAATTGGAGCCAAGTTGAGGATCTGCAAGTAAATAAAAATCTTCAATAATAATAATAATAATTCTAGATTTGTACCTCACATAAATTTTTGTACTAGCATTTGGTGGAGTTTTATGAATTTATCACAAATAACTAGCAATTTAACAATAAAGTTGCATTTATCTTTTATAGGAACATAAAGGCTGTCTTCAACATTTCTTAACTCGTATCGTATAGTTTGGCTGTGTAACACATTTTTCTGCCAGTTCAGGGTAATTCTTTTTAACAAATCAAACATAAAAGCAACAAATTTGTAATTTATTAAAATTCAGCAATTTAACAAACAGTGCTAAAGAGTATGGCTCTCTATGGGGATAACTACACATTTTTGTAACCTGTACAAGATTAAGTTGGAAAATAACTTGACCAAATAATAATATGACAGTATAATAAATATGGTAAAACAAGAGAATTATAAATATATAAAAGTACCTTCATTGGAATATAATAACGTTCGATTTCAAAATATGCTTTGTCACCATTTTTAAAAACAGGAATTACTATTGTGATTTCCAGTTGACAGTAAAATTCCAGAAGAAAAATGTATTTGTAGCAGTGGTGAAATATTGAATTGCAAGGTGGATTGGATGGCACGGGTAATTAGTTGATCACAACAACATGGCCCTTTCAAGATTGTAGCTGTTGAAAACTAAGGGTGGGTGGGTGATAGGTTATTTTAATGGTGGGTGGGTTTTAAGGATGGAAAAGTGGGTTAATAAGGGTGGGTGGAAGGCCATGTAATTAGCTTTACAATGGGTGGAAAACTTCAAGGCTGGGTGGCCTGCCACACCATAATTACATCACTGCCCTTTATTGGGTTTGAGATTAGATGTAATAGATTAAAATTCAGACTCGGAAGTGGGTAAAATAAAGAAAAAATTTTAACTTGCTCAGGCATAAATAAAAGAGCTAACTATGAGACATATTGTATAGAGGAAAAATAGTTGTTAAAGGAATTGCAAATTTCTTGAGATTAAATTAACAATCTGTAAGTTGAATTATATTTAAGTCAAAAACTTTTTCAATGCCATTTCGGATTTTGACACAGGCAAGTTAAACTGTATAACATTACTGTATTGAATCATTTTTAAACTGTACTGTTAGGTGTTAGTGGTGGATTTTACTGGTAATTTTACCTGTTTTGAAGTGAGCAATTTATTGGTTGCTTTTAAGCTGCAGTGGCAGTATCGTGCATGTACTGGAATCACCTGTAAAATCTTCAAACTGGACACTAAATACATTGCGCTGATATCCCACAATAACTGCAACAATACAATATTTGTAATAGTTGTTGATTGTAGAAGTACACAGACCTTCAGAAAAGAAAATGGAAATTCATAATTAAAGTAGCCACAATCATGCAGGCTGACGGCAATTATAGTGGCCCACGAAAATAAAATAAACCCTTGTGTGTGGCCAGACTTTAGCTTCAAAACCCCCAGAAGATCCCTGGATGTTATGGCTTGTCCGCTTCATGCCGGACATTGTAAAAAAAAAAACATTAAAAATAAAAGTGAGCACAAGATTGAGGTGCAAAAAAAAAGGAGAATAAGAAGGTTTATTTTCAAGTACATTGTTGTAAATGTCAAATATTCAACTTAAGGGCTCATACTACTACTAAATATGCTTGCGACTCTCATTAAATGAAAAAAAAAAAAAAAATTAGTTTGGCCCTCTAATCCAATTATATCATATGTTTGATTGAATTAGACCTGAAGCGACCGCGAACTACTACAGCGGCTGCCAGCCAGAACCCCCGCCAATGTGTGTATATGTATGGAACACCGGTGATGCATGCACAAAACAGTAGTGTACACTCGCTTATTGTTAAATGATTGGTTTGGCATAAGCCAAGTCAATTCTTAATTACAGTAATTGAAACACCATTTAGAGGAGGCATAGGCTATTGGAGAATTTATTCTGCAGAAGATTTTGTTTTGGTTTAATAATATTCACTACAAATGCTCATTACTAATGCTTACGGAGTCGTTGTTTGGAAGAAAGGTAGCTAAGAAGTACCGCTTTTTTAAACACGAAAACTTACTGTAACATTATTTTATCACAATTATTTGGTATTAAAGCTTCTTATTATTTTACATTACACTACAGTATCGCTTATGGTTTTTTCTTTTTTTCCAGAAACAACAAATGTTACGAAGTCGATTTGATTTCAGACATGTTTCTATTATCATTTGTTGTGATATAAATTTTGATCATGTTTATTTATGCTGAAATAAAATGGAGATTTATGAAATAAGTGTAGTACTGTAAATAGATTAGTTTATCATACATTCATTTTCTTGTATGTTTACGTTTCGTTTCCATTCACCATTAATGTTCTGATAATCATTTTATAATAATAGGTCCATATAAATAAATGAAAATAGACTGAATGGAAATGATAAAAAATGAAAATAAAGAAAATAAAGAAAAATGTATATAAGTATTTTCTTATTCATTTTCCATATAAAATTTTTAATATGTTTATAATTTACGTACCATACATTTTAAAAGCATTGTATGTTATAGCATGTTAGATATTTTAATCATTATGTCTAAGCTGCGCATGTTTGTATTTAGCGAGCGTACTGTACTGTATTATTAATTGTGCATGTATCACCGGTGTTCCATATACTTTACATCGGCGTTTTTCCCCTGGCTCTCAGGCAAAGCTTGAGCCTCAGTTGAAAGAAAATTGTTAGCTAAAAAATTGGAAATTTGTAAGTAATGCGTATGTAACTCGCAAAGGCTGTTGTTCACATAAATGGATCTTTTTTGCACTCGAATTAGCATCCACTCAAAGTAAATTCCGCTCGAACCGGCATATATTCACTCGAAGTGGCATCTGCTTGAATTGACTGGTTCCTAGGCCTAGTATAAGCCTACTCTACACATCATTTTGCTACATTGTCACTGGAATGTCTGATTGAAGTGCTACTAGGCCTAGCTTATACCTGCTGTAGGCCTAGCCTAGTAGTAGATGGCCAGGGAGGCCTGGCTGTCCTCTCTCTGATACCTATCTATGATTTGTTGGTCAGTTACCTATCTAGGCCTAGACCTAACTACTCACTTTCCTATTTAAGAAGATGCAGCAAAGCCGCTACTTATGCCTACTTGGTAGCTACACCACTCAACAATTAATTAACAAAAAAAAAAAACACATCTAGACCTATGGGCCTAGCGTTGTTACAGAGTGAAATGAGGCGAGACCGAAGTCACTTGTATTCCGTTGTATTCAGTTCTTATTGCTGCTAGGGTCGCACATGTGTCACATTTTTTTAGATCGCTGGTGGCAGTGTATGCGATAGACACATAGAGAGCGCTAGCCTAGCCAGCCAGCCTAGCTAGACCTACGCGCCAAACACAAAATTTCCTGAAAACAGAGAAGTTTTATGACAGATCATGAATATGAACGAGCGCTGATGTTGGAGGCCTAGGCCTACTACTCTATCCAAAAATGAGCACACCGATTCGTAATGATGTTCATCTCCTTCCTATCTTTTGTAAATTAGGTGAATATAATCCATTTCGATGTGTATAAACGAATACCCGTCGTAGAATAGGCTAGATTAGCGTAGCCCTAGCTACTCTCTATGAATTCCCTCTCTAGCTAGGCCTAGCCCTAGCCTACACCCTACACCTATCCTAGGCCTAGATAGACCGACCATAGGCATTACACAACGCTGCCTAGCTGGGCCTACAGTACACTTAAGAATTAAGTACAGTATTTTTTGCTCCTTTGCCGTTTCGGTAAAGCCTATTGCCGTTTTGGTAGTTGACATTGCTGTTTGAATTCGATCCAACTCGGCCACAAGTCAACTCGGCCACAGTCAACTCGGCCACAAGTCAACTCGGCCACAGTCAACTCGGCCACAAGTTAACTCGGCCACAATAATATTGCTGTTATTATTGGTGTCATTGTTATTATTATTGTTGTTTTTATTACCATTAGTTTTAATATTAATTATTAGTCTAAGCATTAACATTATGTATTGTTTAAATTTTTGCTGATATTATTATTGTTACCATATAAATAATACAAAATTCTCGATTTTTTAAATTCATATTATTATTATATATTAGTCTTAGTATTATTATTTTAATAATAGTAATTTTAAAAATATTGTTATTGGTGTTTTATTGGTATTTTTCTCATATTATTATTATTATTGTTGTTGTTGATGTTGTCACCTTTATTATCGATATTATTACCCTATTATTACTAAGTAGGCCTAGTATTATAAGTATCATAATTATTATTATTATTACTAATTAGTATTACTATTATTATAAAAATAAACGTTATCTTTAATTTATTATTGCTGTTATTATTGCTATCATCACCTTCAATGTTATTATCACTAATTAGTATTATTAAAATAGATATTTAAATATCGTTATTATTACCATATTATTTCTTTTAGTATTGTTAAAATAAATATTACTATTAATTTTGTTGTTGTTATCACGTTTATTATCATTATTATGACTAATTAGTATTATTAAATTAAATATTTGAAAAGGACCGACATGTCACTGGTGAATCACGTCATTGGATGCATTCTTGTCACTGACGGGTTTCAAACATATCCCCCAATG